GGCTCAGCTTTCCTTGAAAAACTTTTGAACGAGGGTTGTGGAATCCCGTTGCACGTGGTCAGTGAAGCCTTGTCAGGTGAAGCAGGTGTTTCCTGCCAAATTCTGAGATTAAAATCAAGAGATTGAAAAGTAACTTGGAATGGGGTGAGTGGAGAGCAGGTGTGTCAGAGCTGTTCAGTGGAAGTTGCAGCATTTGTTTTGTGTGCATCTTTGGCTTCTCTTGAGGTCCTGAGGCACTTTCTTCTTCGGGGCAAACGTCCCCCTCAGCGCCTGCTGCTGTGTCTCTGCGGACACCGTGGCGGGAGGGAGGTGAAGGGCGGCAGGGAGGGGGGCTCTGGCTGGCCTGGCTTCTTCACTGACATCAAATTAGCTTCATCCTTGAGCCTTTTACTTCAAACAGAACTGACGGAAGTGAAACTTGGGCACCGGCGCCCAGCTGGTTTATTCTTGTATTCGGTACCTATTCGCCAGCGTGTGTGTACAAGAGACCCCGGATGAAGGGAAGGTCAAGGAGAGTGTGGTTGCCTTCACGCCCCTCGGCCAGGCAGGCACTGGAGGTGTCGTGGGCCCAAGCGGTCACTCAAAGAAACTTTTTAACCAAATAATGGTTCCCCTTCCTGAAATGAGTTTTGGTTAAAGCAGTATTCTCCTTTACCCTCCTTGTAAAAAAGTTTAGAAATGGTGGTAAAATGCACGTGACATAAAATTTATTCTTTTAACCACTTTTGAGTGAACAGTTCAGTAGACTTAACGTAATACATGCACGTGGTTGTGCATTCACACGGTGGACGGTCACCATCTAGCTCCAGAACTTTTCTCATCTTGCACAACTGAAGCTCTGTCCCCTTTAGACATGAACTTCCCCTGCCCTATCCCTACCCCCTGGTAATCACCGTTCTGCCTTCTGTTTCTATGGGTTTATCTGCTCTAGGTACCTCAGATAAGTAGGAGCATACAGTATTTGTCCTTTTGTAACTGGTTTGTGTCACTTAGCGTAATGCCCTCAAGGCTCATGCATGTTGTAACATGTGCCAGAATTTCCTTTCTTTTTTAAGGCTGAGTAGTATTCCATTGTGTCTGTAATACTGCATTCTGTTTATCCATTTATCCATCTGTGGCCGCTTGGGTTGTTCCCACCTTTTGGCTGTTGGGAGTAATGCTGCTGTGAACACGGATGTGCAGGTTATCTCTTTGAGACCTAGCTTTCAGTTCTCTCGACTGTATACCCAGAGGTGGCATTGCTAGGTCATGTGGCAGCCCTGTCTTAAGTTTGTTGAGGGGTCACCACGCCGTCGCTGCACCGTTTTGCAATTCCTCCAACAGTGCACATGGGTTCCATTTTCTTTACATCCTCACCAGTGCATGTTTCTTCCTACCTTTTAGGTAGCAGCCATCCAAATAAATGTGAGGTGGTAGTGTTCTCCCTTCTAAAAAATTGTCAGTGCCCAGTTTGGGCAGCCCCAGGGTGTAGATGTTGACAGTTCCAAGGAGCGTGTTGCCAGGTGGGGTCCTGACCCTGTCATCTGTTAAGGATTATAGACCAGATTTTCTGCCTCCAAATGGAGGTGTCTTCAGATCTGTAGGTAAGTTATTCAATAGAGGGGGAAGCTAAAGATATCAAAGCAACTTCTGATCATTTGTGGTCGGAAAAACACACCAGCCAATCCCGTGGCCCCCACAAAGGGAAGATCACAGGGGCTGGAAATCGAGGAATCTGAGTCCGGCTCCATCTCTGCCGTGGGGGGAGCTTGACCTGAGTCACTTACCGTTTCTGGGCTTATTCCTTGAAAACGAGGGTGTTGGGGCAGCAACTCAGTCAGGATCCTGCCAGCTTCGGAATTCTCAGGTTCTGCGCAATAACCTGGAATTTACTCGTTAGGAGGGGGAGGGATGCTTTGGTCTTGAGGACAAGAGCAGAGAGCAACATTTCGTTTAAATTATTAAAGATGCCCTTTCAGTTGCTAAGGATTGAGGAGTGCAGCCTTTATCTTTGGGACAGTTGGAGCTGGAATTGGACCTTGCAGGTCACCTATGGCCGATGTCCTCATCTTACAGATGAGAAGCTAGGATGCAGAGATGGCAATAGCATCCAGTCCTGAGCTTTCTCTTTCTTATGAATGAAAAATACTGGCTGGCGGGGCCTGAGGCCTTCTCAGGAGCAGTGCCAGCAGAGCAGTGAGCTGGCGTGGGTTCCAGACCTCAGTGCTGGGCAGGTGGTCACTGTTGTTTGGGGTGAGCGTGGTTGGCTCCTATGTGAGGGTGATGAAGTTGGGGGAAGCCATGGGGGATGGGAGGGGGGCTCGACAGAACCAAAGCCAAGGTAGGATTCCAGGCCTGTGATCTTGGGCGTTTGCCTCATGGCACGTTTGCTTGTCCTTAAGTTTTCCCATCTGAAAGGCCTTATACCTCCAGGGTTTGCGTGAGAATCACGTGAACATGAGGCCATGAATATGAAATAAATCATACAAAAATGTTATTTGTACTGCGGGTACCGCTACTGAGTTAGAAGTTTATCTCTCTTAGTGAGCCCAGTATGTTAAACTCTAGTTTGACCATTGTGGTGATGATTTCTTTTATAAAATGATTCCCTACAGGGAGTGTCAAGGTTACAAAGAATCCTTTTCTGTATTGTTCAGGAACTGTCCCCCCTCCCCTTTTGCGTGAAGTTAGTTAACCTGTGCCACTAAGCAGACTTAGAAGGTGCGTCATCTTCTGCATTCTTGTGCCTGGGCCTTTGTTAGCGGTGGGCGCTGCACAGCTAGGGAGCCAGGTCTTCACGTCTGAATGTGTCTTCGGAAGGTCTGCCTGCTTCCTCCTCTGAGGGAATCCAGAGGGCATCGTTTATTAAAGTTGCACGGCGAGCCAGAGGACTTTCTCACACTCTTTTCTTCGAAGCTTTTGTTCACTGCCTTAGGTGTCTGGCTTGTTCTAAATTAGAATTAAATCAGCAGTTCTTGTTTGCCTGCAGGGCATTTGACCGACCACTTTTGAGCCTCTGTTACCTGGTTTGTGAAGCAGGGATGCTAGTATCACTTCTGCTTGTGTCGTAGGGGGTGAGGTGAGGCTTATAAAGGGTAGTTTTTGTTTTGTTTTTTTTGTAACTTGAAAGGACCAGGCTTGATCCTTGGCCTCCAGGAGAATCTGCCTTCACCGAGTGACAGGAAAACCACCTGGCAAAATAGAGACACATCGTCAGAGCGAGAAAGTTCAGTTACAGTGTAACAGAGGCTCGTCGGGGCCAGGTGTGCACACGCGCTGCACCGGCTGCTGGAGCCGTCGTTGGGGCCCTGGGGCGGGTGGCATCCGTGTGGTCCCACGTGCTCCTGGGTGGGTTCCCCGAGGAACTGGGCTGTGTGGGCGAGGGCTGGAAGTCATGCTGGTGAGCCCTGTGTGCTCAGGTGAAACTGGCAGCCTCCAGAGCGTTAAGTGTGCAGAGGGGAGGGCACACGAGAGTCTGGACTCGGCCCCGAAGCGTAGGCGTAGCTGGGGCTGGAGAAGGAAGGACCACTGAGCAGAGCCGCGTCCCCGAGGGAGGCCGGGCCAGTCTGAGTGTCCGAGTCGCATCAGGGCGGGGGACGGGCAACTGGAGGGCGGGCCAGCCCGGCTGGGCAGCCAGGCGGGTGTGGCTCACGCTGGGGTGGCCGTCAGAGCCCCGGCCGTGAGGAGGGCCAGGGCTCGGCGCCGGTGGGGCTCCCGTTGCCCTGTGCCCCAGCGTCTCCCGGGTTGGCGCTCTGCCTTGTTTCTTCCGTCACTGCCGCCTTTCAGGCTGGCATCCTGTCTTGTCGGCACCATCACCAGAAGCCACAGGTGGTCTTCCTGCTTTCAGTGTCTTTTCTTGCCCGCCTTCTCTACATCTTTACCGCAGCGCTCTATCTAAATCACGGATCCAATCCCGATCTTGTGGTTCCCGAGTCCCCGACGGCTTCAGTTGCTGCAAAGCGCCTTCCGAGTCTCCTGGCAGGTGTCGGCTCTCGTCCTCCCCCTGCGTGTTCTCGTCCGCAGGCGCCACCCCCTCTATGCCTGTGCACACACCTGTCTGTCTGCAGCGGCCTGTCCGCCTTCCTCTCCCGGGGAGCATCCCAGCCCTGCCCCCCACCCGTCGACTGTCGGCTCCCTCTCGGGGG